TATAAGAAAATCTTTACATTATTTCCAGGACTTTTCTTTCCTAAGCCAGAATAATAAAAAAGAGGGATTCAACAAAGAATTGATAACGCATGAAAGTCACGTGTTGCATTGCAATTGGGCTCTTTGCGACAAAACGTTTAGCTGCTTGAAAGAATTCTTCAGTCATGTCAACAGTCACATTTGTGATAGCAAGAAACTACCTGCAAACTATCTTTGCAAATGGATTGGGTGTACCCGAAAAGGCAAAGGATTTGATGCAAGGTTACATTCTTTCTCTGATGATTTTATTATTATTATTATTATTATTATTATTATTATTTTATCTAATTTTTATGGGCTTTTGCGCATTGTTTTACACTTTCTATGTAAAACTTCTAATGCAAATATAGATGCTGTTCTTTCATTCATTTAATCAAAATATTAAATAAGCTTGATACTAAGTTTGATACTAAGTTTTCCTCTTGTGCCTTAAACAGTAAACATTCATTCTGTTGTTTCATTAAAATGTATATATGCATTAATTTATTTACATTTTAGGTATAAACTGTTAACCCATATCAGAACACATACGAATGAAAAACCATATCAGTGCACTGAATGTGGAAAACAATTCTCAAGACACGAATACCTAAAGATACATATATGTTCTCACACAGGTAACCTTGTTAACATTATTCTGTTTCATTTAATCAGAGATTCGTATTATTCGCGTAGCAAAAAAACCTCACAATATTCTGTGATTCGTATACGTTACACTGCATGCTTTACGATTGTAATATTACATTGGAATCACCCACAAATATTCAATCCTTCTTTATCCAAACAAAATGTCCGGTCCCAATTTTATTCGTTCTATTATTAATAGTAAAAAAAAACTTACGACTCATGTCTACTCCGAATTCCGGACTGTTTAATTGTCTTCAAATTTTGTTCTTGTTTAACTCTAAAATTAACCTTCAGGATCTGAACAGAGTTTACAGAATGCTATTGTATTTACTTCAAGAAGTTCAACTGAAACTCATTCAAATTAAAAAAACACACACTTTTGCGTGCATTGTTATTCTTCTTTAGCTCTACAATGTTCTTAATGTTTAGCAATATTCTTATTAAAATTCCAAATACAATGTAGTTATACGTACATGTATTTAAAATGTCAAGAATGTTATAAGGTTTCTTCTTCACATCATTGTTTATAAACATAACATGTATTTTTATGTGCGTTTCAGGAGAGAAGCCATACGTCTGCCCGTATGAAGGTTGTAACAAAGCCTATTCTAACGCAAGTGACAGATTCAAACATATTCCTACTCATAAAGAGGCTCGGCCATATGCTTGTAAAAAACCGGGCTGTCTTAAGAATTATACAGATCCAAGTTCGTTGAGGAAGCATATGAAGACACAATCTCATTATTACAAAAGACCACGCAATGTTGATACACCATCTGCTTCTACAAGCTCCCAATTTTAGAGTCTTGAAACTCCTCTTGGAGTTAGATAGGCATCAAAAGTTCATTAGTACTTTTGACATGCATGTATACTTACTGAGTTCAGGCACTTGTATATATGGAGGAAAAGAGTGTATACATAAAATTCGTGTGGAGGAGGAAGAACAAACATGAAAAAGTGAAACCTTGAGGGTAACAAATAAAGTACAAATAAAGAATGTGTTGAATCAGTGAGGCAGACTTATTGCTATTCTTGTTTTGTTGGCTTTAACACGATAGAGGACCACATTTGGAGTCCCGTTTCATGCACGAGCAGAAACCTAAGTGGTACCGGCGACGTTGCGTAAGCGAGCTTGAGGACAAAGGTGAATGATTTCTTAGAGAGCGGCATGGGAAAATGTTGTTATAAACATTTTGCCACGTACGAGTTATGTGCCTTACTAGATTTTTGGTGCCGTACTGTTTAGTTGAATAAATTGAATAAAGTAAAGTTCCATGAACGTTGCTCTTCATTGTTAATTTGTTAATTTTACCCTCATATTTTGTTGAGGACAGTCTAATTTTGGGGAAAAAATGCAACTGTTTTTTTATGTCTATATGTGAAAAATACCTCAATTATTGTACCTGTATAAGTTTGATGGTGACCTTATTGAATTAAAATTTAAATGAATGGAAATGTGTTATAGTTTAAATTTAATGAAACATCTTATGTATCTAAGTCGATGTGTCGATGCGTATCATATTCTCTGGTTAGCGTTCCTTGTGTTGATCAGACTGACTCTCTCATTTTCGTCTTATTTGTGCCTTTCACTGTTGACTACAAGAGCCAAATGACTTCCAGAGTCCCTTGGTGTGACTAACGACTTAAATATTGTCAAGATGCTTATCCGTAGATGAAGGAATAGAATGGCCTGTGATATTTTATGTATCTTTGCGTGCTGAATTTGAGCCACGTCACGAAAAAACCAACATAAATGGGTTTTCGACCATCATGGATCAAGACCAGCCTGCGCATCCGCGCAGTCTGATCAGGATCCATGCTGTTCGCTTACAAAGCCTATAGCAAGTAGAGAAACTGATAGCGAACAGCATGGATCCTGATCAGACTGCGCGGATGGGCTGGCTGGTCTGGATCCATGCTGGTCGCAAACGCACTATGTTGGTTTTGTCGTGACGCGGCTCATTTATTTAGCAGGTCCCACCGTCTCTGCTCAATGTCAAGACACGCCGGAAAGGGCACATAATCCGAATTTAATATTAATTCTAATTCATACAATGATAAAGATTTTGTAAACTACTTTTAAAAGAAAGTTGTTAAGATTTAAACTGTCTCAAATAAGATGTTAGACAAAAACGATAACAACAATTTATTAACAAATCAATCTATTATATTCATTTAAGAATAACTCTTTGAGATCTCGTTTAAAAAGAACTTGTTAAAACCCTAAAAACACTTCTTGGAATATAGAGTTAAGAATAAAACTCGAGAAATGACCCAAAAAAATGCAAATACGCTAAAAATAGGTGCATAGTATAACTTTTTGGGGGAAAATATGTGTATATCTCAAGTTGGAATAGTACCTTGTATATACTGGTCATGTTGAAATAGATACGGGAAATGTGTCTAGAGGGTACAAAGATATAAAACTAAATGAATATTTAAAAAAGATAAATGAATACATGAAAGGAACTCCATTGAGACTGAAAACATTTTTTTTCTCATAATTTCATTGGAACATGGGAATGTACAATAAATTTTAATTTTGTGTGATCAAATGTATTTGCTTGTTGGCAATTGATAGAAATTTGCGCAAAGTTTTCTAAATCTTACTTCGTTCTTTAAACTAGAAAATGGTTAAAAAATTAAATATTATCGGCGATGTTACACTAGTACATACATGGTTCACAATTTTCATAACATAACATTATAATGCTCACCATTTCTGTGTTTTAAACCGGGGTCTTTCAAATTTCAGGTAGTACTAAATTTCAAATAGTTCTATTTGAAGACCGTGTTTTAACCTAAGGTGACATTACCGATCTCTTTAGTTCACAAACATTCGTAATAGCGTGAATGAATAAGATCTAGGTAAGAATAGAAATCGAAAAATAATAAAAAATTGAAAATTTTCAAGTTATATCCATAGCTCCTTCGTTACGTACACTAAATTATATTTTCACGTGATTTAAAGGGACTCCACTGCTTAAGTTTTTTTTTCATGACAGGACTTGAAATATTTTTTTCGGGATAAATCTTCTACTTCATGTAGGTCTAGACCCATACCTTGTGTGCAAAATTGCAAATAATTTGCGCACTCCTTTTTTCAGAATGATTTATCCTAATTATGAAAAATGACCCTAAATTGAAAAGCGTTGCAACGCTTTTCACTCAAATCGGGCTAAGAATGGCAGACAATACTATTTTTAATTTATTTCTGACAATATTTTTTAAATAGCTCTTGCACATATTTCTGCTTTAAATGCCCGAGACGATCTATGAATGAAATTCAATTTTTATGTTTTTTGAACTTTTGGTGTCCCTGAGTGGAGTCCCTTTAATGCCGTCGAAACATAAAGCAATTGTAAAATAGAATGGTTAGCCACCTTAAGAATGTGTTGATTAAAACGCAAATGGTGATAGTACGAAAAGGTACAAAAACCAAATCAAGAAACTATGAGTCGTTTAAAACGAAAAAAACATTAAAACACCCGGAATATAGATGAATGAAATCGCGACAAATACACGAGAGAAAACGCGATTAAAATATCGTGTCCCATACTTAACTTTTTGGACATCGAGTTTTCGTTGAATGTCCTTGTATCATTACTGTCGTGTTTGAAATAGATACGGATGTTCAGATACAAACATTATAAAGCTAATGAATCTAACGATTAAATGTTACATGACCATGAATTGCTAACTGAAACATGTCTATAATTTCAGTGAAACAGGAATCACAATAAGTAATGGTGAAAACTGATAGTCGTGATGAAAATGCGCAAAGTTTTAAATTCACGCGTTCTTGATGTGAACTGATAAACGATTGATTAAAACAGACATACGTGTTTAAAGTATATACATTGAACGCGATAGTTATGATGTTACCACAGTACGATAAAAACACGACAACGTTATGAAAAGTCGATATCACAAACTACATGTGAAAACGCAAACGGGGAACACACGATATCTTCGCGTACAAACATTGTAATATCGTATTGACTTATCATCGTACTAATCGAGATTAACACATGGAACTTTTTGAGTTTATCCACATCTTTTCGTTAGTTCCGATTTCAACCCAATCTTTACTATTGTCACGCGTTTCAGTCCACATCATAACAATGGAACGCATTCGTACAATTGTAAACCATCTGAAAACGAAAATAATTTGAGAACTATCCACCATTTATCATCATTGATCAAACATAATTAAACATCTATACACGAATACCAACCTACCTGAAAGGAAACGCAAATTGTTAACCTTCATATTATCGATTGAAATTCGGTCTACATTTAAAGTATTCGATCAATATCCCGATATATTTATTCTTAAGTTAAAGTTTAAAAACGAGTTAATTTCACCTATATTCAAACGTGTGTTCTTAACAGTCAAATATATCGAAATAAGGATTAATTATTATTCGTTTTTAGACAATATTTTAGAAAATTTAAAGCTGCGTCTGTTACAAAAAAATGGATTAAAATCAACAGGAAAAGAGACATAAAACATTACTATAAACATAACAAAACTGGGAGAATGTCGTCTTTAGAGTGTATTTCGAAACAAATTGGAATATTACTAATTTTAGGTGGGTAGAATTTAACCGTGAATTCAAAAGAATCATTTGTTCTTTCAATGGTGTTTATAAACAATAAGATATTGTTTTTATCCTAGTCATCATTTCGTCTTGTTTATGAATTCTACTAAAATTAAATAAATAAGATTTTAGTCCAGATTTGAAATGAATTGAAAACAATGTGTTTTTTTCCGTTGACTCTAATTACTTAAGTATTTTTTACTTTTAATAAGTCCTTCCCTTTAATTAGGGACTTAATAATTAACTTTATTTTTTTTTGTTATCTTATTTATTGTCTTTGCCAATTTCATTGCGGTAATATTTTTGTTTTCTTTGGATGATATTGATATTTTATGTTACTTAATAATTGTTACCTGCTTTATGAGGAATCCAAAGCTCTTACTTTTGTTGCAAAAAAAATGTTGTATATATTAAGCTGACAGACTTCAGATTCGTTGAAGCATGTCTGAAGCAAGCTATCCTATTTTTTCTTTTTCTTCTTTTTATTTCTTCTTTCTTCTTCTTCTTTTCTTCTTCTTCTTCTTCTTCTTCTTTTTCTTCTTTTTCTCTATTAATGTTTATATTAATAATGATGATGATGATAATTTCTATTGTTACTGTTGTTATTTTTGTTGTTATCATTATTAGTTTCTATTATAATTAGTAACTTTTCAGTTATTATTATCACCATAAACATCATCATCAACATCAAAATCATCATCAACATCAAAATCATCATCATCATCATCATCATTATTATCATCTTTTTTGCTATAATTATTATGATAATCAACATTTTTATTAATTTTATTATTATTATTATCATTATTATTATCATTTCTAACATAAAATACTTAAAAGAAACGAACGGAGTTCTTTGAAAAGTTCATAAAAGTAAAGGATATGAATAACCACAGTACAAATCAAATAACTGTAAACCTTAGAAATCAAAAAAAGGAAACATATAAAGTAGTCATTGTCTATTAAGATATATTCAAAATTGTACAATCATATGTTTTCATTTTAGAGATAGTTGACAACGAAATCGTTTTTTTTGAAAGAAAAAAATGTCAAGATTTTGGTTAGTTTGCTATTGTTGAGTTTATACAGAATATGTCTTAGTTCGATTGTGTAGGAAGCTATAAGCTTATGGACACAATGAATGCTATTGTTGTAAATGTCGTTTTCCATTGACGAAGATAAATATGCCAAAAATAAAATATAAATGATATTGAAGTCTTGACGTTTGCGCAAAACCTCAATTTTAGTAAAAATTATTAACATTTCATCGCCCTAAGAAGTGTGCAGTTTTATGTTTTGTTTTGTTTTGATTTGTCAGCTCCGAAAATTGACGATTTAGCCGAAATAAAGCAAGTAATATACAAGACAGAAATATTTAAGTTTCAACACATAATGCCGTCTATTAGATGTCTTCAAGGGCTTAATCTAATGTTGTAAGAACTTGTTGCCCAACCCATTTGCATTTTGATATATACTCATTATTTGTATGATATATTTGTAAACATGTATTAAATGCAATAAAATATGTTTAAACTAAACTAAACACTTTGTTCTTGCAGCATATGTGGTGAACGCGGGAGAATATTGCTATACCCAAGACAGTCATGACGTGACTGAAGAATATTGTGATGGTTATTGTTGCTCATCAGAGGATGACGGCTGTTGCAGGTAAGTTGTTTCACAATGCACGAGAATAACGTGCATTATTTTGTAAAAAAAATACACAGCAAAATGAGAGAGGGTAATGTGATTAAATAAAGTTTTGATTCTAACACTGATTTAAACGTATTAAAATTAACATTGTCATTATATTATCATTTTATAAATTATGCTGGTACGGTACAAGCGACTGCCCAAGTAATTTTGTATTGAAAATTGTACACACACGTGACTAGCTATCACATATGTCGTTTCAAATGACATTTCCGACCTTTCTTATGTCTATTATACTATTATACTAAAATATCTAAACTTTAAAGGGAGAGGATGTAGCCAATTTTTTCTTGAATTATTAAGCTGCCCAGTTATTTGTGTAGTGTTGACGTGAAGATGTGGTGCCAATGATGAATTAATGTTATGTTCAAACATTTATTTATCCCTAATTTTACGAAAGAATTTTAAACGAAAACAAATTATACCGTCATTTTCCATTAAATGACTGTTAATTTATTCTCAGCCAACCTCTTAATCTTAATAACTCCAGTGTAACTTTCAAATCAAACGGTTTAATACCTACAGCAAATGTTTATTCAGACAATAATCGGGCATGTCCAAATTCATCCTAACTATTGATCGATCGTTAAAATAAATATAAAAAATATTCAAATTACGTGCTATTTAATTGTTTTTCCAATACAGTGTAATGTATATTTGTAAATGTTATAAGCCGGGACTGTCTAGATTAAATTATTTTTTAAAACACGACGGTTTTATTTTCAATAGAGGAGAAAAACACATTGTATTTGCTTATGTAATTAGCGTGTTTTGTATCCCACAAAACTCAGTTCATATGAAGTTGCCTTTGGTTAAAATTAAAACAGTGACCCATGACTATCTATATATAGACCATTTGAACGTGCATATACAACTTAAACGTCTGTACATTTTAAATTCATTTTTAAATCATCTTATATTTAAGTATTTATTTCAGTGATTGGGGATGGATCGCCGGTGTTGTGGTCGGCTGCATAGTACTGCTCGCCATTGTGGGTACAATTGTTTTTCTCGTCTGCCAAAAAATGAACACCAAAAAACAACGCACGGTGAACGTGCAAATGTCAAATAACTATCAGAGTAACTATAGAAACAACACACGAAGACAAAATAATTTAAATAGTAAGTTTGCTTTTGTTGATAGGATTATTGTTTCGAAAGCTTTTGCTTAAATTGACATTATGCTCTATTTTTGTTGTTGTTGATGTTGTTGTTGTTGTTGTTCCTGTTGCTGCTGCTGTTGTCAATTTGCGTTGAATTAGTAATATGTTTTAAAAGAATGGCTATTATAATGATGATTGACCAATAAATGATAAAGCAAAATGTTAATGATACAATTTAAAGACTACCTAAATAATAAAAAGACTGACCCGATCTTTTAAGGTTTGACTTTTTCCAACACATTCTGAATAATATAAAGAGAATCTCAAGTTGGTGACGTAATGGAATATTGTTATTGTTTTTTCATTGTAAAATATAAAATTGATCACATTTATGGGCACTATTTCACGTTATTTCCTTATTTTTACCTGTTCGCTGACAATTTACACTTGTTTGGGCATATTGTCACTTTAAAAACAGGCATACTTTAAGTTTAAACAGCAGAGATTTCCTACAAAATGACGGCCAAACCTATGTGTACATTCGGAATACTTCGTAATTGATCCATACATAGACTTAAACTGTCAATAAGCAGTTGTCAGTAGGCAGTGAGTAGTAAGCTGTCGTTTATGGAAGTTCTTACTAGCCCGTTTTATTTTATAAGCGGTAATAATAATAAAGTTATGACCTTCTTCCGAATCGATAACAGCAAAGTTGTCGCCGGATAAAAAAAAACGTGATCGACAAATAGACCCCCTCTTTATTTTTCTATTACTTTTCAAATACCTTGCTATAAATAAAATATTCTTGTTTAAACAGTTGCATTGACCGAAAACGTGATCTTTAAAAAAACCTAATTGATCATTAAAAAACTATCCGCTTTGTCACGTTCTTTTCTCAGGCGGACACATGTAGTGTTTCCGGTAAAATAGAAGAACAAACTTCGCGACAAATATTATTATTTATATGCTACATTCCATAGCCTGATTTTTTCAAAATAATGTGTTTATTATCTAACAACAAGAAAGAAATTAGAAAAACAACCTCTATCTTCTACTTATACAAGGGGTCCGCCGCAGTTTGTACCATATTTTGCTTTACTCAAATAAACCATATGGGCTTTTATCTGAATGACATGTAACAGTGTTAACCATAACCGACTGAGAATTATACATGTGTCTTAAAAAAACAATCTTCTTCTTGTTGTTGTTGCTGCTGCTGCAGTTGTTGTTTTTGTTGTTGTTGTAGTTGTAGTTTTTGTATTTAATACAATATTGATATCTCTATTTCAGACCAGAACATGATATATACTACAAATATGTCCGGGAACAACACTTTACCACCACCGCCACCATACAGCCAGGTATATACCGCACCAGCTCCTGCATACAATATGAATCCGGCCTATCCGGCTCCACCGCCGTACCCTGGGTCACCTCTACCGGGATCGAACGCGTATCCTGTAGGTAACAACGGATTTCAACAGTCACAAACACATATGACGTCACATGCGCAAAATACCAATGACATGGCATATCCGCCACCTCCCGTCTCCTAAACATGCGTTAAAGCAAAAAAGAATTGATTAGGGTCGATTTTTCTAACATTTAACCAGCAGGTTTCTTAAAATGATACAATGATTAAGTAAATACATTACATGTATCTCTGAAGCTTTAAATGTATTTTATTAATTATCAAATTCTTACATATATTCGTTAATTAACACTTTTTTACTACAGATATTACAAATACAAATATGCATTATTAGAGGTAAACATAACAATATGCCTTTGTGAGGACCACTGCAAAGTTTATTTTAATAACATTTCGATGAGATCAAAAGGTCAGTCAAATGAATTGAAAGATATTACGGGTTACATGAAAAAAAATCAACAGACAATACTACTTGTTTATTATATACTTATAAATGAAATATTGAAAAATATTAATGAAAAACAATGAGTATTTCCAATTTCTGTATTTTCACCGTAAAGTGAAAGTGAAACATATTTTCTGTATTTTCACTAAAGTCTTGTGTCTTGCCGAACTACTTTTTTCTAAATTTAGCCAATACATAAAAATCTCAGTGGTATTCTTTCAAATTATAATGTCTAAAAAATAAATGAAATAAAAATGTATATAATAAACAGAAAATTCGAGTTTTTCTTTAAACACTGGATTTATTTCCATCTTGTGATTTGAAAATTATCATATTTCATACCACTCGGTGAAAATAAATCTTGTATTTATAGAAAAAAAATTGAATATTCTCTATAAATCCTCTTCTATAAAATATCGATTTGTGTATTTGTATTATATTCTTACATATACTCTGACCGTCAACTTTTGACTTAGTTCTGACATACAATATTGTTATTAAGTTAAACAAGAAAAAACTTGTGAGGATTTTTTTTGACTCATTAACATCATTAGTTGGTAAAATAAAATGACAGAATTTGTCACTGATTAACATGATCAGTGGTAAATTCAATGATATTACATGTATGTGATAGTGGTGTTGTTTCCTGTGTTTGTAGAAAATTGTCTTCTTTTTGTTCGTATTTCATTAATTTATCATTATCATTTTCAAACATGGTTTTTTGTACCAAAATGTCTGCATTTACTTTAAAAAGTACTTATTTCTTTTAAGTTAAATAAGTATCTCTATTTTCTTTTATATAATTCTAAATGTTATACTATATTTGTTTTTATAATAAATTAATAACTATTCTACTATTTAGTCTAAATTGACCTTACGTTATGTATATTTTATAATGTGGTCCTTTTTTGTGTAATTCCAAATTTTGCATTTGCTGTAATAGCAATTACATGTGTATATATGCATGTATGTATGTTTTTTTTTCTGATATTTCTGTTCTATGTGCTTTTTTTATTCACATGTTAAAATGCATTTAGAAATATTTCTTTATATCATTTCTTGTGTTCAGTTATACATATACACAGCTTTTTCATTCTTTCATTAATAGTTTTTTTGTCTTTATCTGTTTGATAAGTGTGTTAAGGTGATCTAGCTGGCCTAGATAAAATAATTCACCTTTAACCTGTCATCGTCGGAACGCACGGTACACATTCCGTATATACTACGGAATACTGTATACTGGTATACGGTAAATAGCCCGTATTTCTTAAAAGTTGTTCGTTATCATTTTTTGGAAAGTTAGAAAAAAGTTAGCCAGTCATCAGTACAGAATCTGGTCAGTCTGAACGGATGGACAGGCTGGACTGGCTCTATACTGACCTTTTTCGATTTCACAGGTTAAAGGTTTTAAGTATTATCATTTATTTCTACGACTACTAAATAAATTAAATAATATTTCTGGTAAACCGAGTTGTTTTGTTGTTTTTTTGTTTTTTTTAATCGTAATTTTTGTTTTAAGCACATTTTGTCCAATTTCCAAATACTTTAGTTTACGAATAAATTCAGAAATGGGCAAGATGTTTCTGTTGCATTTGTTTAAACGAGTATACCCATAAAAAATACAAAAACTGCCTAAAGTTAGTTCCAGCTCGATTACAATGCGCTTATTTTTAGGCGCTTTCTTCAGCCAAGTAGTACACGGACCAATAAAGGACGAAGTGAAGGTCCTATCCTAATCAATAAATTACATATTTTGTTTGTATGGGGTAACCTAAGTGCAATATATCTTTACTCCTTATTGTGTCAAATGATTACCAACCAACATTGAGTATTGTTATAATATCCGAATTAACAAACGGATGCTTTTGTATTTTTAAATGTGTCTGTCTGCCAAATATACTGCTAGTTTACCATGACATACGAACTATATTGCCCGTTTTTAAATGTGAAAATGGAATTTAAATTACTGATCTTAAGCGGGTCACATTGTCTTTTTGTGGCCGGCAATTCTGACAAATATCTCAAAGTCCTTCAAGGTATGATAGACCGACAATGACTATAATCTTACAGACCCATGGTTTGTCTAGAACACGATATCTCGAGATGGTTAACATTACTGCCAAGTATTTTTAAAATATATTAAGGAATTACAATGGTGTGGACTGGAAAACTAATTTATAATTCACAGTGGCAACATATTTGACCTTTCTCAGTTAGACAATGGTTTGTTATGAACGATTTTTTCTAATAAAACATAATAATTAGGTAATGCATGAGTTTGACAAAGAAGATTATGGACCGAGCTTGTTGTTTCTCTCTTTTTTTTCTTTATTTTGTGTTTTTGTTGTTGTTTCTTTTTTATCACAGACACACTTTTTAACACACTAATAGAAAACCAGTGGCATTGCTAACTTTTCATCTTTCATACCAGTGCTGGGAGGTGATTTTTTTTCCACAAATTATTACAAGCTGAATGTAGTTAATGTAACCCTTTATTTAGTGTGTTAAAGTTATATACATGTATTCATATGTCTGCATTGACAATTACACTTAAGTTTTTTATGTTTGAAAGGAGCAAAAACACAGACACATGTATGTTGGTTTAGGTCTGCACCAAAAATCAATGCCATCTTGTTTACGTAGATCAACATCATTCTTGATATTTTCATTTTATTGATGAAAAAGTGATAAACAAATTGGACGATTTCAACATTTATATAAAAATAAAAGTACAGAGAGTTTATATATACAAAAATAATATAAAGATTATTAAAAAAATAATGATTATATATGAATACTGGATATTAATTTAGCATTTGTAAGTTTGAATAAACATACTAAAAGTACAACACAACAATGTTTAAGCAGACAACAACAAAAAACAACAAAAAACAGTTTACATAAATTTAAGGACAAAAGTTTAAATGTCTTGTAATGAAAACTCGCGAGCTATTTTTGTGTCTGTTCAATAACAAGTATCTGACCTGGCCAAGTACATCACAGAAAGTGATAATCAGTGATAATTATTTTTCAAAGACATTACATAAGAAGTTAAAGAAAACATCAATTGTTTCTTTCTTATTGCTGGTGCCTGCTAGTTTTACAAAGTTTTTGCTACATTTGTAACTCATGCAATATGGCGCCTATTCCATGAAAAATCGTATGAAAACCCCTCGTTTAGCGGAATATCCGGGATACCTTTATCCGCCCTTTCCGTGTGTCGGAAAAGATCAAGTCATTTCATGTTTGAGTCTACGTGAAAAAGAATGAAGCGTCCTTTTTCCAAGACCGCTGAAAACCTGTAAAATTGTCTGTATATATTATATGCGAGATACCTATTATACATGTATAATAGTAGAAAAAAATGCTTTGTGTACGTCTGAGCTCTGTATTTAAAATTGTTTCAGTTTGTTGATGTTTATAAGACACAATGAAAAATTGTCTATTTAAAGATTATTTATTAGTAAAATTTTTCATAATTCCAAAATTTTGTTCGACAACATGATAATAATGAAGTATCAAGTAATGCAAGCGAATGAATTATATAATGTCAAGATTATTTTTTTCATTTTAGCTGCCCTTGAAGTTGCCATTAATGTTTGAGGCTTAAGAATTGCAGCCATCGTCTATCCTGCGTGATCGCAAGAGTTCATATGATTGGAATATATGCATCTCTTATCTCCAGCAGGTGAGGTGATTTTGACCCCTTGTGTTGCTTTAAAGTTTATAACACTCGTGGTTAGCCAAGACCATCTTTCCTGTTTCGGCGCCATATGACCTATGCTGTGTTTAAGCGCCGTAAACCAGACAAATAGAAGCATTTCATCTGAAATATGCTATATTCAGATATAAACCAGATGTACAAGATGATATTTAGTGAAGTAAAGACTGGACTGGAATACTACAAGTGCAAGATTTATATCTTGAAATGTCCGTATGGAATAAAAAAAACCATCGTGAATTGCCTTAAGCCGATCCCTTTTATGACAAATAGCGCAGTAAATGGGCTACAGGTATTTGTCCGCCGTCGTTCATTTGTACGACTCTCTAACCCCAGCGTCTTAGATTTGTTCTGCTTGAAATATTAAACAGACCAATCATGATTTAGGGATTTCAAAATACATAAAGAGAGCCACCAACAGTAAAGATCCTTGCCAGACTGCACAAAATAGCTTAGTTCTATACTGGTGACAAAGGGTAATTACTTTTGTTTCTTACAGGTGAATTAAGAGTCAAAAATATATCTTAACGACCTTTGAACATCTGTATATGTGTATTTCCCGTCCCTTTGCTGATTATGGATAATTGGCAAGATATAACAAATGCTTCAGTTGCAAGAACTCTGATATAGTGTCTTAATCTAAGTTAAGAATAAGAGAAGGTCATCATCATCTTCACTGGCATGTTTTGATGATGCTGTAAGCTGTCATCTAAACCTTTCTTGTTGTGATGGTCTTTTGTAGGCTGAAGAATCAAAAGAAGAACGTCATCGTCATGGTTTAAAACTGCAGGTTCTTCTGCTGAGTTACAAGATGGTTTGACAGAAGATGTCTGGATAAGTTCCTCTGTCACATTCAAGTCATTGTTACTTTGCTTTTGCATTGCTTTTAGTTCAACTTTCAAGAAGTTTTCAAGCTCATCTGTCTTTTGATTTATCTCTCGTTTAAATGTTTTTACATCGTTCATTATATCTGCGTAAGAGTAATTTGTTTTATTGACTTTTTCTTGAAGGGTTCTTGATAATTCGTTGTATTTGTCTATAATAACGGCGATGGGTTTAAGAGTGTCGGCACAGTCTGTGCTTGACCTTTGCAAGTCTGCTATTGGGACGACTTTGCACGACAAAGTGTCATGTTCAAGTCTTACACAGTCGTTGCAAAGATATGCTTCATGTGCCTTGCAATAGAATTCTATGGCTTCACCCAAGTGGTTTTCACAAAATTCTATACTTATTCCGGTGTGTGCAGGACTGGAAGGAATTTGTTGGAATCTAGGTTGAGGAATTACAATGGTGTGGACCGGAAAACTAATTTATAATTCACAGTGGCTACACATTAGACATTTCTGTTACACATTGATTTCTTATGAACGATTATGTTGAATGAAACAGAATAATAAGGTAATGGATGAGTTTGACATTGAACATTATGGACCGAGCTTTTTTGTTGTTGTTGTTGTTATCGTCGTCACAGAAACACCTTTTAACACACAAATAGAAAAACCAGCTTGTCTTTAGTTTTTTTTATACAATTTGAATTTCGTGGCCAAGTGGTTAAGGTCGATGGCTTCAAACCACTTCCCCCTAATCGCTGTGGGTTCGAGTCTCGCCAGGGACCGTTACTAAGCTGTCCATCTGGTTTACGGAATACCGGTGGTTCTGCTCAGGTGCATATTCGTGTCTTAGATAATGCACGGAGGGGTACCTGACGTCCACCAGTAAAGCTGGAAAAGTCGCAATATGACCTCTTCTATGTTCACACCTTGATTTTCTTGTATAAGAAAATGTGTTTAATCAATCAAAAAATGTTTATACAAAGTGACTAGTGCGAGGAATTATTTTAAAATTACTCCATTTGAGTCTACCATTTTCTGTCGTCTGCATTGGGTGTCATAGGTCATATTGTATACGTAGATGCATCATTCTTGATATTTTCATTTTATTGATGAAAATAATAGTAAACAATTTGGACAATTTCAACATTTATATAAACTAAAAGTACAGAGTTTATATACAAAAATAACAAATATATATTAATTTTAAAAAAACAATGTTTGTATAAGAATGCTGCATATTAATTTAGAATTTGTAAGTGAGAATAAACATTCTTAAAGTACAACACAACAATGTATATGCAAACAACAACAAAAAAACAGCTTACATAAATTAAAGGACAAAAGTTCAAATGTGTTGTCATGAAAACAGACGAGCTATATTTGTAGCTGTTCATAAGCAACTGTTTGCCCTAGTGATGTATATTACAGAAAGTGATAATCAGTATTCAAAAACATTACAGAAGAAGTTCAAAAGCATCAATTGTTGTTTTTTTTTCTTATTTCTGGTCCCTGCTTGTTTCACAAAGTGCTCTCTAACTCATTCAATATGGCGCTATTCCATGAAAAATCGCATGAAATCCCCTTGTTTAGCGGCACATTCGGAATACCTTTATCCGCCCTTTCCGTGTTTAGGATTTCAGAGTCCAGACAAGTATTATAAAGCGAGCATATTTTGAGTCTCATGAAATGAAAAAAAAATGTAGCGTTCTCTTTTTTTCCAAGACCGGCACGCTAAAAAAACGACAATATGATCCTTATATTATATGCAGGCTGATATCTTTAGGCCTATATAAAAGAAGGATTATCATTAACCGGTTTAAACTCCCCAGCCGTACTTATGCTGCTGACCGTCCATAGGCGGCGCACCTCTGTGTTCCTCAGATGTATGTCTTTGTTGTTTCATACTGTTTTGGTGACATTTTTGTGCCCCTTGTTTTTTTCTCGTCTACGGTAAGTATCTTCCCCTTTGCCCCTAGTTTTTATTTTTTTATTTCTTTTATTTACCCCCCCCCCTTCCCCGGGTCTCCTTCCCCTGTGCCCTTTGGCTTTGTGGGCTTGTTGTTCGGTCGTTTGTTTGTTTTCTTTGCGTTCCTTGTCAGTTACTAATTATTTCTTCTTATGTATGATTTCAGTGTTTAACCTACCCATGCTCTGCCTTGTGCTATGTCTTGTTTTTGTTTGGGCCCCCCTGGGCTCCTTGCCACTGGTTCTGGTTGCTGGATGGTGTGGGGGTTGCGTCCATTGAACGCCGCCTTTTCTTGTTGATCCTGTATATCATATTTCAGACTTTAAAGTTTGCTTTATGTTTAGATGAGATCTGCATTCGAAATTGTTTTCAGACTGATCTTTATAAGAAACAATGAAATTTTCCTGTCTAAATGTAATTTATTGGTAAAATGTTTCATCATTTCAAAATTTTGTTCGACAACATATAAGGTAACAAGTAATGCAAACAAGTGAATGAATTATATAATGTTATGCTTTTCACTCTAGCTGTGTTGCCTTAAATGGTTCAGACATAAAGATTGCAGCCACCGTTTAAATGCTTGTTGATTGGTTCTTGTCAACGCAAAAGGTTTGAATTACAGCTTGGTAAGAAAACTCAATCTATGCATTATTTAGCACCGAGCAGGTAAGTGGTTTTGAACCACACTTGTCTGTGGTAGCTTTAAAAAGATTCAAATCCCGTGGTTCGCCACAGCGGTGGGTCTAGATGGTTTCGAGTCCGCATTGACCATCTGTGTATTAAGCCCGCTTATAAACCGTACAAAGAAAGCAATTTATTTTGAAATATTCTCTCTATTTTCAGATTTAAACACTGTAAACCATGTTTTGTGATTTGGATAATTTGGGCAACTAAATACACAAGTGCTTGATTCACTGAAATGTCCTGAATTAATAAAAAAAAACATCTGATTTGCCCTTTAGTAACAAATAGCGCAGTAAATGGGCTACAGGTATTTGTCCGCCGTCGTTCATTTGTGCGACTCTCCACCCCTAAGTTATGGATTTGCCCTGCTTTGAATATAAAACAGACCAATCAAGTTTTAGGGATTACAGTATCAAAATACATAAAAAGAGCTACCGCCTGTATAGAACCTTACAAGACTGCACAATTGGGCAAAATAGCTTAGTTCTGTTTGTTTGATTGGGTTTCATTTAGCGACGTTCCAGCTTTACTGGTGGAGGAAGACCTCAGATGCCCTTCCGTGAATTATTTCAGGCACGAACGGGCACCTGAGTAGAACCACCGACGTTCCGTAAGCTAGCTGGATAGCTTCCTCACATGAAAGATTCAAAGTCCCTGTCGGGATTCGAACCCACAGCGGTGAGGGGCAAGTGGTTTGAAGTCAACGACCTTAACCACTCGGCCACGGACGCCCCTAGCTTAGTTCTATACTGGTGATAAAGGATAGTAACTTTACTTTTCTAACAGGTAAATTAACAGGTGAAACTCTATTTTAAGGACCTTTGAACATCTGTATTTACCGGTTTTTTTGTTGATTATGGATAATTGGCAAGATATAACAAATGCTTCAGGTTCAAGAACTCTGACAAAGTGTCTAAATTTATGTTAAGAATAAGAGAAGGTCATCATCATCTTCATTGGTATGTTTTTGATGATGCTGTAAGCTGTCACTTAAACCTTTCTTGATGTCATTGTCTTTTGAAGGCTGAAGAATCAAAAGAAGATCGTCATCGTCATGGTTTGAGACTGTGGGTTGCTCTGACGAGTTACACGATGGTTTGACAGAAGATGTCTGGATCAGTTCCTCTATCTCATTCAAGTCACTGTTACTTTGCATTTGCATTGCTTTTAGTTCAACTTTCAAGAAGTTTTCAAGCTCATCTGACTCTTGATTTATCTCTCGTTTAAATGTTTTTACATCGTTCATTATATCTGCGTAAGAGTAATTTGTTTTATTGACTTTTTCTTGGAGAGTTCTTGATAATTCTTTGCATTTGTCTATAATAGCGGCGATGGGTTTAAGAGTGTCGACACAGTCGTTGGGGTTTATGCTTGACATTTGCAAGTCTGCTATTTGGACGACTTTACACGGCGAAGTGTCATGTTCAAGTCTTACACAGTCGTTGCAAAGATATGCTTCATGGGCCTTGCAATAGAATTCTATAGCTTCACCCAAGTGATTTTCACAAAGTTCTATACTGTTACCGGTGTGTGCAGGGCTGGAAGGAATTTGTAGGAATCTAGGTTGTAGATCAAACCGGGCTTGCTTTTCCATTTGGTTGGTAAGACAAGTCTTGCAAAGGCACTGGGTACAAAGGAGACAGAAGTCGCAGACGAAAACTTTAATATTATCTCCTATGCATTCCTGACAAACTCTTTGAATATTATCTTGATGCCTATTTGAAGGAAGAAATATCATGGTTAATTTGATTTACATATTAAGCCATAATAATTATTGTATAAAAATACGTCAATAGGTAGGTGTTGATTAGATAAGACGTACGAATCAACGTTTCATAATTATATACAAATACTACGTAGTTTGACACATATTATTACAAAACATATTCTATTTAAAATGATCATTTATAATAATAAACATTCACATGGTATTTGATTATCAAAAATACTATCTGGTACTCACCGCTTTTATGAAAATCTTTTTTAAATCGTATTACACCTATAAGTTAAAAGAATCATTTTTATTTGTCACATAATAAGAACGTTTTACAAATCAATAGCTGGTGTAAAGTTTAAGACTTCATAATTCGATCGATTGATTAGTTGGTTATTTCACGGATTTATATACCTAGGTTATTTATAGTTGCCTACATAAGGCGAAGACGGCACTAAATATAAGTATAACTAAGATTGTATTCTGAAAGGTTTAAATGTATTTATTGTAGATTAAAAGTTGTAGCTGTCCGGGTTAAAAGATCCATTTACATTTTAACTTATATTAGTCAGGTCATTTTCCTCTTAATAAGAACAAACTTCGTTTGGTAGCAAATGTTTTTCAATAGTTCATTCATAAGGCAGTGTTAATTTGTATCTGATATTTTGATGTTTTATGTATATATTGTGTCGATTATTTTTATACACTAGGGGAAGTAACTACATTTTAACTAAATACTAGTAATGTTTTAAAATTATTTAAAATACTCCTTTCACCTTTTGTCATAATGGGCGTTTAAAAAGAAAAATCCTTCTTTCAAATTTCAAATTTTACAATGTGTATGTATAAAAGAAAATCAAACCCATTGCATTTAAAAACTGAAAAAAATTTTTAAAAGAAAGCAAAATTAAACCCTGCTATTTTACTCAAGCTATACAAAAATAAGAATAATTTAAAAATATGAATAATAATAAATAAATAATAATAATAAAAAATAATAATAAAAAATAATAAAAAATGTTTAAAATAATATTTTATTAATATAATAATAATAATTTAAAAAATAAATTTAAAGATGATAAAAACAAAAAACAAAAATAACGACCCCCAAACCCGCACAAAAACCGTCCCTTAGCTCAATAGGGAGAGCGTTTTGGGTATGAATTGGGACGAAACCCGGGGAAAATTCCCGGTACTTTGGTTTTGATACCCCTGCTCTGGTATTACAGAATTATTTAGTTCCTTTCGAAAGTTAAGGCAACTAAATCTAGTAAAAGCCCTTTAAAAGCTTTTCCCCGGGGAACCCTGCGGTTTATGAACCCCGTCTCTGGTACATTTAATATAGCTTATGCCGTGTTTTGGGGTGAAAACTTCCAAAACCCCCTTCACCAATTTTAAAATGCAGTTTCTTTACATGAGGGGGGGTTTTGGGTAGTGACCAAACAACGCACCCAACCCTGTTTTAAGATTTATTTTTCAATGGGACATTTCTTGGGATACGTATTTTTTATAAACTAAGACTTATATTTCATTGTGGGGGACCCAAAATTTTTAAAAGAGAATTTTCTGTTGCGCGTTTTAAACCCATGAGCCTTTTTTTTGGAAAAATTGATATTTCCAATTTTTCATTTTTTTAACACCGACTTTTAAATTCTTTATCTAAATCATTTACTTTTAAGATATTTATGGGGTGGCAAAACATATTTTTGGGTAATAAAAAATCAGGGAAAAAACTTTTATTTTAATTTTGTTGCTGATGGATGCAGGTTAGTTTTGTTTCTTTCTTTTTTTCATTTAGCTATTCCAGGATATGTATAATATTAAAGCGCCATCACAATCACACATGCAATACTATTTTTACTATGTACATAACTTCACTTGTTTCATTGACAATCAGAAAATGAAATTCAGCAAATACAAATTATTTTTAACTAAAATACTTTCTGACTTCTGTAGGATTTATATTATTTGCTAAATATGCGTTTCATATAATCTATAAACACACGAAGTGTATATAAACACGCGAAGTATAAATATAAACGCGAAGAATATTTAAGTATTTATAAACACGCGAAGTATTTATAAGCACGCGAAATATACATAAACACGTGGAGTAAACATAAACACGTGTACACAAGTATTTATAGAAATGAATCCTCACTGTCCTCTAGAATAAGCATTTGTTTCAATAATATTTGTAATATATATGATACATGATAAAATTTAATAACATATTTAAGTTATTGTACATAGTACTGTACTATAACAAAATAATGACCGACAAGTCAGCCCAGATAATTTAAAGGCCCGCTGTTACCGACGTTAGTAAAAAATGTAGGGTAAAATATCAAAAGAAAGTGTTTACTCATCTAAAACATTTAAATCACACACTACGCATATCTTTCATTAACAGAATGAAGAATGCGCTATTTGGACAGGCAGGAAAGCTAATCAGCCACATCAAATAAATCTCTTTAATATACCTACCCTATACTTAAATGATATATTAAATTTGTCATGGTGTAAAGATGTTCATCAGTAAGGGATATAAATAGGGAGAGGCAACTCAGTCGGAGCAGTTTCGATATTTAGGAAGTCTTTAGTGGTACGAGGTGGCTATGCTCAATGGTTCTCATACCCGAGTCAATAAAAATGTTACTTGGTACAATTGGTACAAATTGTGCTTGGTACAAAATTCAAGTACAAATTTCAAAATGGCGTTGCAGCCTGAAATGAGATATATCTATACATTAATAAGGGAGAACATGTGTAAGTAGCAGGGTAGATAATTCAGTAGATCTACAGAACGTAATTTAGAGTTGTCGGGTTCGAAACCCGGTCAGGATGTAATACATTCGGAACTGCCTCGGCTATAATCTATAATAACCTCGGAAACAATACGGATTGAAAGTAGTTCTACGACGTGGTTTCAGATGTAAACAGAAACAGAGATAATGTAAAACGAATGTATATATTTGACATCTTATGTCTGTTCCGGTACTCTTATGCTTGAAAATATGTCTGACAATAATTTGTAATTTAAATATGCCGACTGAACAAATCCGACTAAATGTCAACAGGTTGGTTTTTTGCACAGACGCTTGGGAATCAGATCCTGTCCCCCAACGTGATACGCCCCTGTAAACACTCTATCAAAAATATTTTAATATTTAAACACGAATGGGACATCTGCTACAACGATACAACTGGTTTTCGATCAATTTTTTTCAAAACTGAAAAAAATTACCTTTTAATTTCCATCAAGGGCTCAATAGATTGACAATGTTTACAGGGCTATACTTGGGGGGCAGTCACCCCCAACGTTGTGGGTAAAATTTCGGATTTAAACTTTAAAAAAATTAATTTATTGTTTCTTTTTTACCTATGAATTTAACTTTTTTTTGGTACTTTTATACATATATTGGAAAAACTTTTAATATACATTTAAAAAACTTTTTTTTACTGTTTATTTCTTAACTGGTTAAACCAAATACCGGGACCTTGTTATTTTAATATTGTGTTCGAGGTCCTATCAAGAACGGAAAAAAGGGCCGAAAGTTTTGATTGTAAAATGTAAATTTACAAATTTTTTTTTTGTGACAAAATCTACATTTTATCAAAAATCTTAAAAAACCCAAAAATACGATAAAATTAAAATTTTCTTCCATGGCTTTTTTTATCTGATAAACCACTTTTTCAAAAGTTTTTTAGTCCTTTTCTGATGGGAAACCCCAAATTTTTGTATATTCAGATTTTGTTATAGTTAAACAACGCAACATTACCATCATTACTCAAAAACTCACTGTCGAAGCAAAAGTCTTAAAATCACAATTTTTTACAACTTACGAGAAAATTACAATTGAAGGGAACCCCAAACAACACCCCTTTGACAAAAACATACGACCACACTTATGTGATCGAACCAAAACAACAACAACGAACAAATATAACCCAACCAGTGACATACTGATTTAGAACGGAAACACAATATGACAACAACAACCCCGTGATTGAGAATCCCTTTAACCCAAAAACAAAAACACCACAATTCATCTTCAGATTGAAGAAACAAAAGACACAATATGAAAACAAAAAGTGATTGAAGAATCAAAAGTACACCAAATATGCAAAAACACCCTAAAACCCCTTTAGGATTTAGAAACAAAAAAGCCCCCCAAAATTGAAACCAAAAGTGATTACGAATCAACTCACACCCAAATTGGACAACAAACACCAAATGACAAATCTTCAGTGATTGACGAATCAACAGTCCACCCAATTTTGACAACAAAAACATAATTAAATCCAGTTGAAGAAAAACACAACAAAAATTGACAAAAAAACACCAAAAGACAACCCATGATTGAAGAATCAACAGTCCACACCAAAATATGACAACAACCCCAAAAAACAGTGATTGCGAATCAACAGTTTAAAAAATTTTTTTTTTTTTTCCCCCTTTTATGGGGAATCAAAAGTACACAAATAACAAACAACGAAAATTTTGATTGAGAATCAACGTCCCCAAAAAACAACAAAACCATATCAATTTCCCAAATTTAAGAACAAAAAGTAAAAAAAAAACAACAAAACCAAAGAAAATCTTCATGATTTAGAATCAAAAATCACACCCAAATATGACAACAAAACAAAACATTTGATTGAGGAATCAACATACACCAATATGAAAAAACAACCAAAAATTTTTATTAAGAAACAAAAGTCACCCAAAATAAAACAACAACTCGATCACTCAAGTTAGAACAACAACCCTAAATTACAAACAACACCAATGACAACACCATGATTAGAATCAACAGTAACCAAATATGACAAACAACCATTCGAACAACATCCCAAAATTGACAAACAAAACATAACAACTCCAAAATGACAACAACAACAGGGTTGAAGAACAACAGTAAAACCCAAAAAATGACAACCAACAGGATTGACGAAAACAAAAACAAATATGAACAACACCATCACAACATTTCATGATTGAAATCAACAGTACACCAAAAGACAAAAACCCCAACATTTAAAATTTTAAAATCACAGTACAAATAGACAACAAAACCCCTGATTGAAAGAAACCGTCACAAAAATTGACAAAAACCCCCAAACACCCTGTTTAAAAATCACAGTCACCAAATATGACAACAACACCTATACTTTCAAAAATAGAAAAACAGTAACGAATAAAAACCCAATGAAACACCAGTGATTGAAAATCAACAGTCACCCAAAATGACAAAAAACAACAGTTTTTATGAGAATCAACAGCCCCCAAATTGACAAAAACACCCTGACAACACTTCAAAAATGAAAAAACAACCAGTACAAAATAACAAAACACCAATAAAACCCAATTGGGGAATCAACATACACCAATAGCAACAAAACAGGGTTTTAGAAAATCAAAATCACCAAAATATAACAACCCCAACAAACCCGTGATGACGAATCAACATCACCAAATATGAAAAACCAGGATTGACGATCAAAAGTCAACAAATATGACAACAACCAAACCAGTGATTTTGTACCGAAAAAAATTTCAACAGTCACACCCAAAAATTTACAACAAACAACAGTGATTTAAAAAAAAAAAACAACCCAAAAAATTCACAACCAAAAATGACCAAACAACAACCCCCGGGTTGAAGAATCAACGTCCACCAAAAAATTTAAAAACAACAGTGATTGACGAATCCATTCACCAAATTTTGACAACAACACCATGACAACATTTTCAAAGGGTTTTAAACCCGCACACCCAAAATGACAACAACCCATCACAACATTTTCAGTGATTGAAAATCCACATTCACAAATATGACAAAAAAACCCTCGACAACATTTCAGCGATTTTTTAAGAATCACATTTTACACTTAAAATTGACAACAACACCATTGACACCCTCTTCATGATTGAAGAACAACATTTTATAAGAAAAATAAAACAACACCAGTGTCAACAACACTGGCAGCAACGACTTCTGTTGTTGAAAAATTGACATCCACACCATATTTAACATCATCACTGGTGACCAGTACTTTAACGATTGAAGCAACAACATCCATACTAAATATGACACCATCGCCAGCGACAACAATTTCAGCGATTGAAACAACTACATCAACACCATATATAAACATCAACACGGGCGCCCCTTCTGCAGAAATTAAAAGAAACGACAATAAAATGCTAAACACGGGCGACAACGCTTCAGCTTTGAAGCAACGCCTCCCCCCAAAAATGCAAAAACCCGGTTTTGAACAACCGACCTTAAACCAAAAAATTTAAACCAATTTTTGAAGCAACAACCCCCACACAAAAATAAAACAACTACTGGCGATAAAAACCATAACCCCAAAATTTTTGACAACACATTTGCTACTTCATTTCATTTACAAAACCCAACACCCTCGATAACATTAAAACACAGGTTTAAAACCCAAAGAAACATCACAACATTAGATGGACATTTACATCGTGATTCGTTCTTAAATCATTTTTGAAAAAGTTCCTTTTTCCATAATCACATCAATTTCAACAAACAAAACCCCCAACCAAAGAGCCCTAACAAAAATTCTCTTTCCTTTACTAACTACATTAACTATTCTGTGACTACAGGTTTTATGAAATTTCTTCACTTTACATACTATCTTCACTCCACTCTCTTTGAAAGACCCCATAAGCATCCGCTCTCAGACTAATTGAACGTCTCTCACTTTACTCCCAACTTCTTTACAAGCTACATAAAGTCACTTCTCTTTACACACTACATAAACAAGCGCTCTTTACATACTACATGGACTCCCCACACTTTACATACTACATGGACACCCCACACTTTACATACTACATGGACACCCGACACTTTACATACTACATGGACACCCGACACTTTACAGACTACATGAATTTCCTTCTTTTTACAAAAAAACATGAATTCCCCTCTCTTGACAAAGCATATGAACTCCCCTCACTTTACATGCATTCTCATTTCTTTATATAATCTCTTCATAGGTAATCACTTTATAGACTACATAAAACTTCCATGTATTTACTCCACTCTCATTAAAATACTCTCTGACCAACTCTGTTCTTACAGAACATTTTTACTTATCTCCTAAACAGTTTAAGTCCTGTTTACCTTCTGTCAGATTCCACACTCTTAGTTCAATGTAAATTTCTCATTCTTTATAGACAATTACTATTTGAACCCCATTATCCCCATCTCCACCGCCCGCCTCCACCTTTTCCACCCTCGTGATACATACAATCTGAACAACTATCTCGTTGCCAGTTATCTGAACTCTCCGTTTTAATGAATATTTTATCTTAAAAAGAATATCTGAACTTTTCCTCTCTGAACATTTCTCTCTTTACTGACTGTGAGCTGACCTATCTGTTCTTTTGTCTTTAACCTTTCTGATCTCTCTTCCTTTCTCTCTTTATAAACCCCTTTTAAGTTGTCTCCCTTGGATGACGTCATTAGGGATAAAGGCGGATATTGCCAAATGTACAAAAGAAATCTTTTCATAGATGGATTAACATTTTATTTCACCCAAACCCCTTCCTCCTTACTCTGTTCCTCATTTCCATGCTATATCCTAATCAAAAATTTAATGCAAATATGTTTGATTACTGGATTTTCAGCATTTCGTTTGTAACATATGATTCTATCCCAATTAGATGATATATTTCAGAAGTAAGGTGATATATATATGTTTTAAAATATTTCTTTCAGCTTATAGCGATTTATAGGGAACAGCTTGGAAACGATTTTGTGTCAGTGACAATAATATCTTTAAGGTATTGTGAAGTATTGTAATTGTATATTTCTAAATAAAATGTAACCAAGGAGTCCTATGGTTAATATCCCGTTTAATGTGTACCATGCTATTGATGAATCTTCTTCTATATCTAAGTTAGTTTTTAACAAACTTGGAGTGAGGAACATCGTCTGCATGTACGTATATCCTATTACCCTAGCCCAGAAAGATATAAAATATGGTTTATGTACAAATATCCAGTAGATTTGTCATAAATCAAGGGCAAAAATGCGTTATGTGAAACCTTCCCTTCAAAAAATTTTTTTGTTTGTTAAAAATTTTTTTCAATATTATTTTATCAAAAAAACTGATATTAGTATTAATATAAAGGGTGATCAATAAAATGCATAAATTTTTTCACTGTGAAAGGTAAGTAAAGTGGGGGGCAAAGGACTTATGGACGCATTTCTATTTTAAGCTAAATTTAAAGCTTTTAGCTAACTAGTATTTTAAACCGCTTCCATTCTTGCATAAAATCTGCGCACGCATGCATACGTTAACCTTGCGTGCTTGGGCTTTAAATGCGCCCGGGTGCTTCTACAGATGTTAATGCACGATAAAAGGTGCTTAACTTTCTATTTGTGTGTTATGCGGAAACTGGTTCGGGACCCAATTAGGATTTGTGCTCACGATTTCTGGGGTTAACATGTATCACTTCACTATCGCTTTCCTTCTATTTAATTTGAAGAAATAAACTAGAGAAATGTTCTGATATTCTCCTTTCTACGGTATTGAGTTACTACTTTAAACTTTGTGATATATAATTTAGCTAATAAAACTAGCGGCATATTATAACTAATTAAACGAGTGATAACATCGATAATATTAACTGAACATTTTTATTTTTATTTAACACATAGTGCTGGAAGTATCATAGCTGATTACGAAGTGAAAGTGGCCAACAAACCTAATGCAGCAAGTAACTTGAACAAGGCGAATATTGATCTGGTTAGTGGTAAAGAAAAAATTACAGTGTTGAATCAAACTGTGTCGGCAGATTCTGTCCGAACTGGAAACATTACAGGTAATTTTTGTTATATTTTAAATAACGTATGCAACGATGATAACATTATAGTATAGATCTAGAATTTAGCTAAGTTTGATCAAATAGCCATTTAGTTAACGAAAGAATGTAAAATTGTTTTTGGGGAAAGGTTACATTAAAGAACATTTGTAAAAGGGAACTTGATATTTTATTTATTGTGTATTTAGCAACAAGTGCATTAAAAGGTGCGTGCTTCATATAGAGGATATTGAATGAGGGTAAGTTCATGAGTTGAATAAAGTTATATCAAGCGAGTCTCTGGCAAGCTCAAGGAGTACAATAAATTTAGTATTGAACTTACACGAATATTATATTCTATTTATCACATATGTAAAATAAAGAGCGTTTACCGCACGGGTATGTGATTAATATTAAAACTAAATTACACATATATAAAAAGCACTTAAGTGTTAAACATGATTTGCCTCGGCTAACATTGCAAAAATCAATATAAATGCAGAAATAAGATACATGCATTTCACTTTATTTTTACATTTTGGGATAACGTTAACATTGTGTGTTTGCATTTTTATGCTCCCGAAATATTTCGGGAGCATATACATGTAGTCGCCGGGTTGTCCGTCCGTCCTGAATTCGTGTTCGGTCCATAACTTCATTATTTTAAGTCGGATTTTACAACTATTTCACAGAAATGATCAACATATTTAGACAACGTGTCGCGCGCAATATTTGGGTCGCTACCCTGAAGGTCAAGGTCAAGGTCACAGCAAAATCGTATCCGGCCCATAACTTCGTTATTTGAAGTCGGATTTTACAACTATTTCACAGAAATGATCAACATATTGAGACGACGTGTCGCGCGCAATATTTGGGTCGCTACCCAGAAGGTCAAGGTCAAGGTCACAGCAAAATCGTATCCGGCCCATAACTTCGTTATTTGAAGTCGGATTTTACAACTATTTCACAGAAATGATCAACATATTGAGACGACGTGTCGCGCGCAACATTTGGGTCGCTACCGGTCAAGGTCACAGCTTGACCTTACAACAAATCGTTATTTGAAGTCGGATTTTACAACTATTTCACAGAAATGATCAACATATTGAGACGACGTGTCTCGCGCAAGTCGGTAGATAGATCTCATTGAGTAGACATGTGTGCAAAGAACAGTAACTCTGCCTTGCCTAAGTTTGGTATTATCACTCCTTGAATTTTGTCTAGGACGTAACTCTGAAACTACAAAAGATATACTTTTCTGTGTCCAAAACCTAGTCGGGGAGCATCACCCGGCTCTTGTTTTACTATGTGCCTTGAACAAAAGAACTGTATACATTATAACAATAAAAACAAGTTTTTGATAAGAAAAGCTACTCCTTACCTTATTGTAAAATTGTAGTGACGCAATCTGACGTTAATGATACATTAAAACTGTGCCAGTTGTTTATATCAACCACGGGGGAATGCCGAGATGGATATGCATGTTCCGTTGTTAATGGTTATGCTACATGCGTGTAAGTATTTTCCTCTTTAAAAGCACCCAACCATGACTGTTACACGTACGGCTGCTCAACGCATACCTTTAACACCATATCGCTGCTTTGCTTTAAATAAGGTGTGCATAAACCCCAATAAGCTGTGCAAAAACCCGATGCTGATAAGTGTATAAAATTCATCTTATAAGAGTTAAGACTAATCATATGATTTAAGCAGGATGAGTCCTGGCCTCGAGGTTATAAAACCTTTTTCTGAGTTCAAACTCAAATCTCAACATTTCCATTGGTCAGTGTGCATTCTGAGCTGGTTTCTGACCAGTCAAATCATGGAGATCTCAGTTTGAGCTCAGAAAATTTCTTTATAACCTTGGACCCAGCAGTTGCTTTATGTTAGTAACACCCGAGGTTAGCAAAAATTCTCTTTCCTGTTTCAGCACCATTTGACCTAAATTGTGTTGGTGCACAGTAAAATCAAACTAACAAACACAAGAGAAAATGGAAAATAAGAGGGAAAAATCATCAAACAAATCTTAATTGAAATGGAACATTTGTATATACATTTGTTATACGCGAAAGAAGTCGAAGAATTGTGTACTTTTATCTTTTAAATGAAAGGTATTCTAATCAGCTTGGAACTGTACAGTACTTAGATCTAACTTAAAATTTTATTTTTTGAAAATTATCATTTTTGTTACATGAATTGAACAACATACCCTATTTTTTCAAGTTTACTATTAAAATAAACTGCTCCAAAGTTCACACACCTTGCTTGAAGGGAAGTTGAGATGTGCCCATGCTTTAGATATGTATGTAAGAAGATATAAAAACAAAAAAAATATCTTTGAAATAGTATTCTTTGTATTGTCCGTTGCTGCGTAATTTATATTTAAAAGAAAAAGATCAAAAAAATATCAATCTAGACAAAATCATTTATCAGTTTTACTTTAATTTTCAAAATACATTCTGTATGTATAACTCAAATAGCGAACAGTACAGACCATTATCAGACACAAAATACATTTACATGTTTTAAACACATTTCAACCAAGTTTCAATTTTTTTCTGTCACAATCATTTTGAGCTCTTTGATAACTACCATACATGTACAATTGAAAAAATATTTCAGTGCATTAGAAATTCTTGCTTATTTATATTTTTCTTTCTTTTTTTCAGGGAAAAGGAAACGAAAAGTAAGCAACCTTTTGAACACACCATACTATGTTTTAAGATTTTTTCTTTCTTTTTCTAAACAAACAAACAAACAAGTAAAATATACGAAGTTATCTGCTACAGTATTAAGTATTTGTTTACATATTAATCAGCTGAATATAATTATAAGTTTTCTTCGATTTGATTTTAAATTTTTGTAATGGTAATGTAATTGTTTTCCTGCTTTAAATGTTAATGATGGTCTAGGTGCGCCTCCGTATTTCTTTATGATGGCCGAATGCGCCTCCATATTGTGTCATTATGGCCCAAATGCGCGCCTCTTTATTTGTTAATGATGGCCTAAATGCGCCTCTATATTAAGAGAAGTTTCCTTCTATTAGCTACCTTAACAGCATTCTCTCCCCATATAAAGAATGTCAACGCCCATTCTCGGGATACTAAAACATCTTTTATAAATCTAAATTTTAAATATAAAATCATCGGAAAGTGGCGCTCTTAAAATTCTGACCATTTGCGGGTAGTTTTAAAGGAAAGAAATATCTAAATATATTTTTGTAGATCCGATCTGCTGTTATTTTTTGAAATTGCTAAAATCATTACAATAATAAACAAAATGTTTGTATTTCGCTTTTTATTCTATTATATTTGATAAAACAGAAGATGATACGTTAATTATTCTACTGTCTGTCGGTGGATCAATCTGCTTCATACTGGCTGTAGTGATTATACTGTTTATTATCAAGATGATTTGCCTTAAAAGATCAAACTTCGACCTCAAGTCTTCCGAAAGGTTTGCTTTTCTCTTCTCTTTTTAAAGAGTCATGTCTGAAAGTTTCATCACAAACAGTGACAAGCACATTATTGACATGTTTATCTATGCACACGGTGTATGGTGATGTTAATTATAAATGTCTGTTTGAAATCAAAATTATGGGGTATAACTCTATGTTGGGTTTGTCTAAAGAACGAATAAAATTATTCCTTTGTATGATGATTTAATCTTTCTTTTTTTAATTTTTCGGTGGAGCGACTTGTGCATGTACGAAATCGTCAAATTTTATAAGGGCTTATTTTATTCGGTATTCGTACATGTCGCAATATGCATTGAATAACAGATAATTTCTGCTTCTTACTCTGTTAAGGGTATGACTCTAAGTAAATAAAGAAGACTTGATTGTACATATGAGCCGCGTCACGACAAAACCAACATCATGGGTTTGCGACCAGCATGGATCCAGACCAGCCTGCGCATCCGCGCAGTCTGATCAGGATCCATGCTGTTCGCTATCAGTTTCTCTACTTGTAAGAGGGTTTGTAAGCGAACATCATGGATCCTGATCAGACTGCGCGGATGCGCAGGCTGGTCTGGATCCATGCTGGTCGCAAACCCATTATGTTGGTTTTGTCGTGACGCGGCTCATATATATAATGTATCTAATCAGTTATAACTTGAAATAGAAGAGTTTTACACAGGGATTTGTAAGTATACTTAACTATTCTAAATATTCAATAATACTCATATGTAACAATAGTAAACAATTAACTAACTGCAGTTAGCCTAAAATAATCTACATGTCCTAAAGCAAATAAATTGTCTAATATTTTCAGTTCTTTTGAAACAAAAGGATGGGACCACCAGAAAGCCGTTCGTCTGTTTGGGGCGTCTTCAAGCTGGCAACAACAAGCTTTAAATTATCAGCTACCGTCACCTGGTCGTGAAACTATTCCTAGAATAAGTTTATCAACATATTCCATCAATAAGGAAAGTACACCATATAGATCTACACCAGATAAAGCTAGACAACATCTTGATTGTACGTATATGTTTTTTGTATATAGTTACCATTGTCAAAAGATGGCATATCATTTGGTCATTTATATGATGTAATCAATATAAACCTACATGTATTAAATTTAGCAAAACGATATATGGTATATATCGTGTTATAGTATATGTATTATATGATATTAGATCTAACATGGTATAATATAAAAACACAGTATGGTAGAGTAGGGGTAGGGTTACCGTAACCCTAGATACGGTACGGTATAGTACAATACTGTTTATTCCTTTTCTAATTGGATTAAATTCATTTAATGATTTTTTTTTGCGCCTCCAGTTACCATGTACATTTTATAATAAGGATATTTCTGCTTGAATGTCATTTCATATTAGCATATGCTACAAAATGTAAAGCTGTTCATCATATGGGCCCGCTACTATCATTTTTTTTGTAATAAATATAATTCACTGTTTTGTTTCAGTATTCTACTGAAAAGGATATATCAAATATGACATTAAAAACGTCTAATAGTAAACTCTCTTTTAAAATTTGATGAAAACGGTAATGGAGGAATCTTGTTATCTTCATTCTAACATTTCTTATTTCAGCGGAGGAATTTGCTGCTGCGAATGATATATTAATAAAGAGTTATATATCTAATAGGTAGGTATAAAGATAAATGAAATATTTACGAAGCTTATTATATGTATTTAATAGGAACAAATAAAATGATTGATTTCACCTCGTATTAGATATCAAACAATGAACATCCAGGTGATGTTCCAATTATTTTTGGATCATATCTTATCAATTTAGTCTCGTTTTCATTTCCAGAGTCAAAACCATAACGTATCCAATATAGCCTTAATTTTATTATCCGAATCCAAAAGATATATAACGAATGCATATCATACTCCATCCAGACTGTTTTAATCCAAAGAGTCCAAAATCCATATCAAATCCTTATTGTTATTAAAGTAATAAAGTAATGTCAAAATGTAAATAAAATGTGGTGCGAAATAAAGTGGTTACTTTATATTGTTAAGAACAATACTGATATTATTGGACTCGTACACAGCTGCAAAGCCTATATCAGACTCGGCTAGTGTCTTGTCCAATATATTTTTACAGCTGTGTACCCGTCCAAAAATAGAATTCAGTCTAGTACTCAAAACAATTATTGTAAAATAACCTCATAATATAAATGAAGAGTTATAATATCTGTTTTATACAATAATAACAATTATACTAGCCAATGAAATTATTATCAATTAAGAAGTATACATTTTTATACCATTGGATACAAAGTTTATAGTTGAATTATTTGATATTAAATGTGCCAACGTATTGACTTTTTTCTTTTGTTCAAGACATTTTTACTATATTTGTAGGGATGATATGTCTAGTCATCTTTCCAGCAAAATTGTAGAATCACCAAATTAATACATCAACAAGACGACAGCTTAAAGGCCCATTTTGTGCGCCAGGAATTTTCTCAGAAGCTTTTGTGTATTGTTATATAATTTCCAAAACATAACTCATTGCAATTGGCCAATTACCTTAAACAGCTTTATCTTCTAGGACTTATGGCCCTTAGTGCAATTAAATAGTGATATAGTACTTTGTATGGAAGTCAAAATATGACTTTTTCTACATTATGCAAATTTGATAACAAATAATGTTACATTCTACTACATACTGTATGCTATTTTCTTCTGCATCTGACAATCATGTAACATGATCTTAAACCATTATATGAATTTAAATGCTATAAAAATTAAATGTTTGTCATTTTTACAAAAGGCAAACAAATGTATACGTTTGAGAGGCATAATGTGCCTTTAAAGTATTTTGTTTAAAAGTGCTCAGATAAATATATATGTGTGTAAGTTTATATGTGTCAATATGTCGCAGACGAGATTTGACTTGAAGTTAAATATAGATTAAGGAATTTGTGTTTATATTAAGGCACTGGTGTTCGGATTGGGAAATTGTGTTCTTTATACCTGCCGAAATATAGTTCATAGTTTTTTTATATCAGTATTATTTTGCACAATTATGATGTATTTAGTTTGTTGTCTGAATGTTTATATGTTTTTCATATTTATGTTAATTGATTTTATTGACACGAAGCTGTAATTATGTTTCATAATGCTAAAAAAAGTTTAAATAAAAAGATAATCATTTCTACTTTTGCGTTTTCTCTGTACTTCATACACGGACAGTTTCTGGACGTTGATATTCAACAACAACAAATGAGTGACTATAGCAAAGCCATTCCGTGTCAATTCGTCCGTCCTCGTCCCTTGCCAGCTTCTGTAGAATTTTTGATAAAGTAACAGCCGTTGTTTCTTTAGGACTTTATATTGAATATAACCTAAATCTCAAGGAACGATGCACTAAGTTTAAATTTGGCAAGCGTGGTTCTAAACGATATTTGCATATATAACGATGGCATAGAAATGACCTTTACAGAACTTTTTTATCTCGTGGCCGCGGCTTATTAATTTGAGGCCTCGGGATATTGTCTCGTGGTCGCTACTTACTATCTTGTAGCCTGAAGTTATTATCTCGTGGCCACAACATATAATCTTAAGGCCTCTTGATATTATATTGTGGCCTCAAGACATTATTGTTTCGGTACGGAACCGTCTGGTGCAAAACCTTAATGTTCCTTAAAAAGACTGTTAGCCTCGTAATAAGGACTTTTAAATTTCACACTCTTAAAAAGGAGTGATTGAAAAACCTTATTTGAACTAAGTTACTCCCAGTAACAACGTATTTAGGTTTAGCACCAAACCGTTCCGTACAAAAACAATTTTAAAATGTTATTTCGACCATGCGACCACATACATGCATCGAGGACATGATTTAAGGAAAGTGACCGTGCGACCACATACACGCATCACAGGGATCCCCTTCTCATACGAGAAAGGGACAAAGTGCTGTCCGCCCTTTTATTAAAGGGCAGACTTAAAAAATATGCCTTTTCCTTATTGTTATAAATAAGTAGGCTATTTTTCATAGATATGTTTTGAATTGGTTTATATACAACAATAGTAATGCAAACCAAGTGAGGTATCAGTTGTCGTCCTTTTAAGTTTGCAATGAAATTTTAAAAAGATCATATTTAATTTATAGGAAAGTTTTAAGTTCACAGTTGTTTTCTACTTTTCATTCTTTGTATATAATAGAATTATTTCGTTTTTGCCAGACATGAACGTTTCAAAAACGTTTTATATGCATTAAATACGGAAGATATATTTTCACACTTTGTTTGCAAAATATTAACCTGGGGGCATTTTTGCTAAAGAACGCTTTTAAATTTCTATATTCGACTTATTCTAGATAAGGATATGTGCGGCAAGAAAAAAAAGATTAAACTTGAGCAGCCGACAAATCTGACAACGATTAGACGGCTGAATATGTAAAATACATTTTTATCAATCTTGGAATATTAAGATAGAAAAGTTAGACAAGGAGACATAAGAACAAAGCCGGTTTTGTCTGGACGGATGTGCAGCTTGGCTTACATGTACAAAATGTATCTCTATTCATTTCGGTTCCAGAAATATATTAAGGATGAGCGTATTCGAATAACCAACTACATACTAGCTGGTGCCTGGTTAGTCGTAATTCCCAACTATTTAACAGCTGGTTGTTGGCAAGTAATAGTTGGTTATTCACGCAATCCCAAACTTCCAACCAGATGGTAGTTGGTAATTCAAATTTGGCATGTTTTCCTCTCAAAACAGAAATCAAAGGACTTGATTTTTTGATCAAATTTT